CTGGGGCAGTTCAGTGACATCTCAGGTGCAGTGAAAACTACTCAAGTAACTGGAGTCCAGATGAAAACAGCGGGCAATCAAATTAGGTTATCAGACCTTCATTCGCTCGTTCTCTTTGGTTCAACAATATGTTTCCAGCATCCATTCTGTGCCAGGTTATGGGCTGGGCTCTTCGCTTTTAAAGGGAAAAGACAGGATCTGCTCACGGAGCATTCACCGCGCACGTGTCATCATTAAGCAATGCAACAACTTAAGAAAACACACAGGCATTAACTGAAAGGGCCTGAAGGCTACCGGAGGGTTCCTGTGTGCTCTGCACGCTTCATGCACAAGTCCCTTTCAAACCTGATGTCAGAGTCAGTTCATAACTTTCACGAGAAAAATCACTTCCTGCCAAATCCTCTGACCTCCTCTTGGACCCGAGACAGCACTGCCCACCTACTCACGCCCCTTTTCCAGATCTGGCTCCGCCTGACTTTTGGCTGCTTTCCCCAAACAATCCCCAGGCTCTCAAAGGCTGACAATTTGCCAAGAGGGAGGTTTTGAAAAGAATGTGCTCCTGGCCTTCCGTGCTATTCTAAGAGCAGAGTTCCAAAGATGTTTGCGCAGTGACAACCTCAAGTGTGGGACTGAGCTGAAAAGCCCCGAGGGTCCTGTGAAAGCAGGCCTTTGGCTAAACTCTGAAGCCCCTGTCATCAACCACACACACTTCTCACTGGCTAAAACTTGGGAGGGGGTGAAGGGATGCTCCACTGCCCGGCTGTCTCCCCAGGCGCATCGTCAGCACTGCGGCGGACGAGGGGGGCACGTCTTAGGGGCTATTTTTAATTCCAAGCTAAATTAATTTGGTGCAAAAGTAGCAGGAGTCCCTTCCCCTTGTGGGAAATGCTTCTGCTGCTGCGAATCTGGTGCATACAAGAGCCCACCCTCTGGGGACGGAATTAGCACAGGCGATTTTGTTAGGCTTATTTCCCTGAAATAGTTGTTTTTAAGGTTTCCCGTGGCGCCGCAGCCTGTGAGGAGTGGTACTGGTAGGCGAGCGCGGGGTGGTTTCAGGACCTGGCGAGGGCGTCCGAGGAGGTGCCCCCGGGGGAGCCCAGAGGACTGCGGTTTCTCTCGGCTTCTCTCCCAGGTGTTCTTCCCACAGGGCTTCTTGCAAAAAATGCACACACACACAGCCTGAATAAGTACAAAGGCAGTGTTTATTAAAATACAGTTCATTTTCAAAATTGAGCCATCAGCTTCTAAAGTGCACATACATTTTGGGGGACAACCTGTATGTGTCACCTGAGTTTATGTGCCACTGGATCAACAGCATTTGCCAAGAGATTTAACTCCCTTAAGTAGGGGAAACACGAAAACACTCGTCTGTTTGTTTGTAAAAGAAAATTTTGAAAAGAACTATAATCCATTTTAACATGTCACCACCTTCAGAAAGCCTTCCCGCATTCTCATTCTCCCATTAGATGCTCTCTCTCCCTCCAACTCAAAAGCATTTTATTTCTTTGCCATGTATGCAGCTAGCAAATTCAAATTCCTTTTAAAGGATGTCCTTATTGATTTCAGAGAGAGGAAAAGAGAGAGAGAAATAGCAATGATGAGAGAGAAGAATCATTGATCAGCTTCCTCCTGCATGCCCGCCCCTGGGCATTGAGCCCACAACCCGGGCATGTGCTCTGACCCAGAATGGAAACGTGACCTCCTGGTTCATAGGTCGACATTCAACCACTGAGCTACGCCGGCCAGGCCATATGCAATCATAATTATTTGCCTGCTTCGCTCATCCTTGTGATATAAGAGAATGTATTGGGAGGGCAGGAATGAAACTGTCTTCACCTTCACATCTTCACAGCATGAAGTCCTTAATACCTATTTAGTGATGGAATGGAATTGAAGGCTGAGAACAACTTTAAAGACCACTAAGTTCATCCTCCATATTTACTAAAAGAAAAGAAAAGAAAAGCGAGGTCTAGGAAGGTTTGTAGTGACCGACCTGGCCGGACAGAACACCCAGTTCCCACGCCAGGGCCCTCCTGAGCTCCCGCTGCTGCACTGCAAATGCCTCGTTTTTAGCACCTGCACCTTTTACAAGTCTCGCTTTACTTTGTCAGTTCAAGAGCATAAAAACCTTTTGGGTGTAACTTGGTTTGCTCACAAAACTGTCTTATTTCCATAGTAAAGGTAAGAGCACACTTTGAGAAAATAGATTTGCTAATTAAAATTATTTCCAGATTTGTTTTAAATGTGTTGAGTTTTGTTATAAACGAAGCTTTGAAATGTTGAATTTTAAACAATTTAGCAGCCTTTACATATTATTATTATTTTTTAAAATTCAATTCGTTTCTAAGACAACAAAAAGAACTTGAGAGCAGAGAATCCTCAAGACTGTCGTGAAAAACAGAAAGCAATATTGCTTCCGGATGTGCAGCCCTCCACAGCGTCCAGCTTCACAGCAGATACCTCCTTTGCTTCGTGGCAATGTGTGTGTGTGTGTGTGTGTGTGTGCGCGCGCGCGCGCGCGCCCGCATGCATGTGTATGCACGTTATGGCTTTAAGAGCAGGACTGACATTGGTATGATTCTCTGAAAGGGCCAATTTGCAGCTTTCCTCTCTTAAGGTGCCCAGATGATGCTTAAAAAAAAAGTCTGCATCTTCAGGACTCACCCCACTGCTCACCTCCACTCCTATACTCACACACAACTGTCCTCTCGATGTCCTACTTCTCAGACGAAACATGTCCAAGGTCATTCCCTTGATCGGCTTTACCCATGGGCCCCAAATAGGCTCTCCCTTTGGGCCAGAAACCCGGAAGTCTTTTTCAACAGCTCCATCTCCCTGATCCCACAAGGGCCAAGAAGTGCTGATTCGGATCCTGAGTGGGCTCACTTGTCCCTCCCTGTTGCCTCCGCCAACTCCAAGCTCTGTCTTCTTGCCCTGACAGCAAGGGCCTCTGTGCTGGTTCTCCATCCACGGATGCTTCCCCATTGTCACCTGCACATCAAGCTCACTTCCTACCCCGCTCATCTTCTACAGGCAACCAGAGCCACCTTCATAGGATGCAAACAGGTTAAAACCTCTCCCTGGGTCCCCACTGTTCCCGAGACTGTGTTCAAAATGCTAACCAGGCATCTGACACCCAGCGCTTGGGTTCTTTCGTGTACGGGAACTCCTCCCCACTTCAGGGAGTTCCCACTTGATCTCCCCTTTATCAGAAACAGGATTCTGCAAGGCTCCTTATGCCCCAGCAAGCACGCCACTTCCTTTTGCTGCCCATCTCCTACTTACCCTGGGAGCTTGGCTTCAATGCCATTTCCTTGGGGGGAAGCCTTCTTACTACCTAGAGTAGGACCCTCAGGTAGATGCATCTGTATCCTATTTTAATTAGTGATAATTTAATCTCTATCTTCCCCCATATTAAGTTCTCCATAAGGTGTATTTAACCAAAAGAATGAAGAGGGAAGGAAGAAGAAGCAGGAGGAAGGGGGTCAGGCAAAAGCTGTGTAGAGCCCTATACCTTGCACTCCCTCCCCCAAACCCCAATTCTTGATGGGCTGGAATGAGAAGAGACAGAGACAAATGAGCAATGGGAGATGGAGTTGAGAATAATGAGCAAGAAGGTGAAAGGACCACCTCATGATGCCTCAGGCCAACTTTCAGAAAAGCTGCTGCTCTTCATTTGCACCCATTTTATAAAAAAAAGTGCCCCAAATGGGGACATGGATGGGGAGCATGGGAAAGGTAGGACTGTGACACTCCATAGTTTTCTATATGAAGGCAAGTCACTCAACATGTCCTGGCCCACGAGGACATACAAGATCATCTCGGAGATCACCTCTGGCTCCCACGATCTGAGAGTCCTTGTGGGGATGGTGGTGGCTCAGAGCCGGGCACCCACTCTGTGCTGCCTCCACCCTCATCCTCACCGAACGCAGCAGGTTCCCACACGCTGAGGGGCTCACAGTACGTCCCTTCGGTACATGTACCAAAACATGCAATGCTGAGCTGCTCAGAGCGCCCATGAACTCGCCTTCTTCTGGGAAGGGGAGAACCCAGCCCTGCCCCCACCACACGTGCCCCAGGGAAATCAGTTTCCTGGCGGGCACCAAAGCCACGGGTAGAATCCCTTAGAGCACACAATGTAAGCACCAGTGACTACAGTGACCCGGGGAAGGCAATTCAGAGTAGACCGGCCTACACGTCAGGCCTCCCACGCAACATTGTTTTCTTCAGTTACAACATTACTTTCCGTGTAACAGCCCAAGGCTCTTTCCGCTCCATATATGGGGGGCGGCGGTGGGGGCAGGGGGCGGCGTAAAGGAGGCTTATAGTTGTATGCGAAACAGAGTTTATTCTTGTCGTGTTATCTATTCACTATTGCATTATTTTCCACATGAACAACTGCAAACCTATTTCACCCCACCCTGTTTCTGATGCCCCACTCTCCTCGGCTGACCCTGTCTTGGGCGCACAGACGCTGCGGCAGAGGTGCTCCGTGGAGACAGGCATACGCACAAGGCAGATCAACACCACGGCGGGTTCGCCCCCGGCAGATGCGAACTTCTTTAAATCAACAGGAGCATTTGTAACCCGTCATGAAAGGCAGCAAGGCTCTCACGACACGAACCAGAAATAGTGTGTTACGTGGGCCAAAAGCGATGACAGGCCCATCAGTAACCGGAAGGGCAATTCGCGGAAACTGTATGTGTATAATGCATCTTCGGGAAAACCGCATTGTGTTCAGGGAAGCTACTGCTATACATTTGGTGGAGTTAGTCCACGTGGCTGCTAGAGGGGAGGACGAAATTCTCCTCCGATCCCCACGTGGTCCAAACCGGGATCAGAAGGACCGCACATCTGTTCATTAGCACAAGGCAAACAGCACGAGACTTACTGGAAAGTCTTCCCATCGGGAGGATGGGCCCCACAACAGCTATACAGGCATTAAAAACATTCACTTGGAAATCGCATGGACATCGAGCAATAGTTCCCAGGTTACTTACATCGGTGTCGGGTCCCTTGTCCGCACCCGGACAAGAAAAAGTAACGAATTCATGGCACCTCTTGTGAACCACAAAACAGCAAACTGGGGGAGAGAAAAGAAAGTGAGAGTTAGAATAGCCTGGATTTAGTATATACAAGCGTCCGACACGGGCTACGTTCAGCTAGGAGTCCATTTAATTTCACTGCAGCCAGAACCTCAGACATCAACCAGACATTTCATTCAGGACTCAGCCACATTTGGTATTGATGAGACTCGCAGATAACAGGATCATAGGACGCCAGCCCTGACCCGGCTGAGGATTCCCAAACCGCGATGCCCGCTGTTTGCAAAATTTAAATTACTTTGCACTGTCCTATACGAACACACTCACACTCATGTACATGTTTATAAATGTCACAACCTGTAGGTGACGTAAACTACAGAGCATTTATAACTATAAATAATACATGGATACCCCCAAATGTGGGCTACAGAACTCCCTGAGCAAAATTCTGAACTGGGACACTCATGAAGACACAAACCCAGTTTATGGGGACCAGCCCTTTGCAATGAAGAAAGGCTGGGGAACACCCTCACACTTTCTTGTTTCTGCCTGCTGGCCACACAGATATATATATATATGAGAGAGAGAGATGGAGAAATGGATAAAGCCCAGAGGGTGAAGATATGGGTATGCAGAGCCTGGGAAGTAGGATAGGGTGGATTGTTTTCTCTTTAAATAATTATCTTTTAGGGTTGCCATAATGCAATGCATTGTAACAGTACATTTAACAAAAAGAAAATGCAGGCCTGGCATTGAGGAGGCAGAGCTGGACCTATGAGGGAACCACCTATAGGAACACAATTGAAGAGCTCTTAAAAGAGCGTCACTTTAGAGCAGAGATGCTCTGGATGAGGGGTTCTTATTCACTGCCATGCACATCGGTGCAGAAGGGGGTGGGAGAGAGCCTCCCAACGTCCCCCCCCCACGCCCCCCGACCCCACCTCCTGC